TAACAGAAAAAAAAAAAAAAAAAAAAAAAAAAAGAAGTACAGTTGTACACTGATAATACAAAACATTGAAAAAACAAAAGAGCTAAATAAATGAAAATATATCCCATGTTCATTGACCTAAAGATTTAATAGTAAGATGGCAATATTGGCTGGGTGCAGTGGCTCATGCCTGTAATCCTAGCACTCTGGGAGGCCAAGCTGGGCAGATCATGAGGTCAGGAGTTCGAGATCAGCCTGGCCAACATAGTGAAACCCCATCTCTACTAAGAATACAAAAATTAGCCGGGTATGGTGGCACGAGCCTGTAGTCCCAGCTACTCGGGAGGCTGAAGCAGAGAATTATGTGAACCCAGGAGGCAGAGTTTGCAGTGAGCCAAGATCGTGCCACTGCACTCCAGCCTGGGGCCAAACAGAGCAAGACTCTGTCTCAAAAAAGGAAAAAAAAAAAAAAAAAGGTAATATTCCTCAAACTGTTCTGATTAAAATTCATGGGTCAAGGCTGGCCCAGGGAGGTCCCTGCAAAATTTATTTTGTAGGAAGTCAAAACCCGGAGCACAGAGAAGCCACGTCTTCAAGAGTCACTGGCCAGGAAGAGGCAGAGCTTGGTGGGATTTAGTGGGCAAACTATGAAACATCTGACCCCCAAAACCTGCTCCACTGGCTCCTGGGGCAAGAGGTGTTGAGACTGCCAACAGCATTGCTCAGAGAAAGGCAGAGAAAGAGCACACAGCCGAGTCCCACCACCCACAACACCTACAACAGGGAATCTGGGAAGAAACAGCTCCTGTGGTTTGGCTTCGTTACGGACAGAACTTCGCATGGGGAAAATGCGGGGGTAGTCAGTGTGCTGAGGGACAGTGTGAGAGACTTACCCAGTGAGCTAACGAGTGCAAAGTTCTCCAGCATCACATCCCGGTATAGGCCCTTCTGGGTCACATTAAGGAGCCCCCACTCCTCCCTGGAGAAATATACCGCCACATCCTCAAACATCACCAAGCCCTGCAATGATGGGTCCAACTGAACCTTGGGGTCAATGATGGGCAGAAAAAAACAACCAAAATATGGACAGATGGACATATTCAGGCCCTTGACCTCTATCTCAGGGTCCTATCACATCTCCCCGACATTATCCTTCCCTCTGAGACCCAAACCCCTCCTCACTATACTCCCTACACATACCCTTATACCTTCCTTCTCCTATCCCAGAGGAATATCAGAGCTGCTGGTGTTATTGATGTCTCTGGTGTTACTACTGGAAACTGTGTCCAGCCCAAAGCGACAACAGGCTGGTGACCAGACTGATGCCATCTATGTGCAGGGCCAAGCACACAGGCTCCACTCTATCTCCTGCCTGCCAATACCAGTCCCAGAAATCACACCTCTCAGACGCAACCAAACCTATGCTCATCCTTCTCCCTTAGGTCCCAAGTACCTGGTCCCAGGGTCCAGTCGGCCTCCTGCTCGACAGGCACAAAACTGGACAGCAGAATGCCTAAAACTCTACACCCTCAGCACAACCTCCCCAGTTTACCCTATAGGCAATCGCCTGACCTTCCACACGCCGTTCTGCACATGCGGCTCCAGAGTGCCTGGCACAGCAACTACGACCCCATCCTGTCCCAGTCCTGCGGCACATCTCCAGTGGCTCCCACTGCCAAGGGCATGCCCCAGCCCTGCATCAAAGACCTCCCCCGAGAACCATACGCAGACCTCCTGCCCTCCTCCAACTCTGCCGTGGCACACGCCGCCCCCCACTTGGCGGTCCCCCTCATTCCTCGGAGGCACCCTCTGCTCACCTCCGCCTCCCCGGCCATCGGACAGTGCGGGCGGAACCCGTGGCCTGGACCCACGGCCTCAGCCGAAACGCGTCCCAGGGGCTGAAACCCTCGGCCGCCGTGGAATCTTCCCGGGAAGCTCTCCCCGAGCGGTTGAAATGCGTCCGAAGACAGGGAGCCGCTTCCCGGAGCCGCTTCCCGGAGCCGCGGGGAAGGAGGATGGTACGGAGGCCCGGGAGACCCACGGCGCCTGTCCGCGAGCGACAAGTCTGAGGAAGATGGGGCCACTCGCCGGTGGGGCACGGAGCGTGGAAGGCGCGGCAAGGGTCCTTGCCCTTCACCTCGCCCAGGGGATCGCGAGAAAGTCACTCCGGCCCACGCAGAGCTGCCTGGGGCGCCGGGACAGATTTCCCGCCGAGGACTGCGGACTGCTGGGCAACGCCGGAACTCCCGGAACTCCCGTGGCCTCCGCCTCCCGTAGCTCGGCGCCCCTCACGCCACGACCTCCATTCCCGGCTCTCCTCGCGGCGCGGCTGGGTCGTTGCCAAGGCGATAAGGGAGGGCGCCGCTGGCTCCTGAAGCGGGGCGTGAACTACATTTCCCATAAGGCGCCTCGACGTGCGACCGTTCAGACTTGGCCAATGGAGGCCCAGGAAGGGGAAACGTTCGGGCGGGCCCTGCGCGGGGCGGGGCTTTCGGATTCGACTTTCGGCGCTGGCTTTGGGGCGGTTTGCGGCAGTGGGATCGTTGGGCCGTGGGCGGTTTCGAGGAGGGTCCGCTGGTCTTATTGATGCCTCTGGTGTTACTACTGGAAACTGTGTCCAGCCCAAAGCTACAAGAGGTTGGTGACCAGACTGATGCCATCTATGTGCAGGGCCAACGAGCGAAGGCGCGAGAGTCCGAAAGTTCTGCTTCGATGACCTGTACGCGTCCTGGCCGCAGTGAACGTTGCTGAGCTCCGGTGACCTCACAGTGGAGGGGCGGCCCCGTGGGGCCATCGGACCGCGCCGCGCGGGGGCGTTCGCCAGGGCCTCCGCAGAAGCCCGCCTGTGCTCGCAACCGCCCCGAAACCCTCTCCCTGGCACCGTGTCCGCTTTACGGAGCCCGGAGCAAGGCTCAGAAAAACGTCCCAGCCAGAAACATGGTACATGCCTGTCATCAGGCAAGTCTTCGAAGAGCGTCTGGGACCGGGGGCCGGGGGACCTCGTTAAGAGGCGGTGTCGGGGGAAGGTCAGCGGTTGTGTTTCAGATGTGTTGGGCTTTCCGCGCCCCACAGTGCGGGCGACGTGTGGGCCACAGGTGTGAATGTCAGGGACACGTCGCCCTGCACATGGCCGAGGCACGGTAGACTGGTAGTCTACCCCATATCAGGCCATGGTGATCTCAGGTATGGGGGCCTGGGACAGGAGGGTGAGTACATGACTGAGTACGTCAGGGCACGGCGTCTGGGACACATCAGGGGAGGACGCTGACAGGAGAGTAAACGGGCTCCTAGGTGTCTTGCGCTGAAGTCAGACGCGTTCATGTTAGAGCATGTAGGCCTGTGTCCCCCCGGACGAACGGAGTTCTTAGGCAAGGTCCAGAGGAACTTCTGCCTCAGGGTGATGCAGGAGAACTTCGCACTAGGTGCTAGGTCAGATCACTGGTATCATCACCCTCCCCAGCCAAAACTCTAGTTTTTTTCCTCTGCTCTTTCCATGTTCCCCTTGGAAGTCGCTGTTGGTCGTGGCACTGAGGCCCAGATCATGCCACCTCCTCTAACAAGTGACTGAGTGGACACTCCAGTCTACCCAAGGGCCACGAGTGGCCAAGATCGGGGCTCAGAAGTCTCTGAATCTTCGCAGCAGGTCATGTCCAGCTCGGTCACTTCCTGTAAGATTCCAGGCACTGCATGCACTGACATGGGTGCGTGTGGGGCCACCGGGTCCTGCCCGGGAGCCTTCCCTGGATGTTCATTTTGTGCAGTTCTGTGTTTGTCTTGGAGTAAGGATTATTCTCACTTGCTGGGGCATGGTGTTTTGGCCTCTCCTGGGCTGGACTCTGAAAAACTCATCCTCCATAGGTCTGATGGCTTCTACATTCCCACCAGCAGGTGGACCACATGAACTCAAAACTAGTTGTGGCAGGGGGACCCTGAAGAGATCCACCCCTGGTGAATGCCCCCAGGTGTGGGCTGTTCTCACCTGGTGCCCAGCCTGTGCCCTTGCAGGTCTTGGTGCCTCCTGTCAGCTCCCCAATTCCAGTTTTCTGGCCATGCCCCCACTCTGTCCCCTTCTCTCAGTGTCTAGCTGTGCAATGTTTGCCTCTCCTTAACATGTCCTCAGCTGACCCCATACATATCCTCAGATAATCCTTGCAACCCTGTTCCTCAATGACTCCTGTGTATTCTCTCCAGTGGAGACGCAGGTGGGACACCCCCAAGCTCATGGTACATGCCTGTCATCAGTACCCCTGGACTGCCATGGTGGGTCAGTCTGCCCTAGGCTGGACTGACCAACCTGTTCATTCCCCCACAGGATTGCCTTTTACAGTTCATGAGTTCCCCCAACTGGAGTGCAGACAAGAGCACTGACTGATGGACCAGGTAGACTTGAAACCAGGAATAACACAAAAGTTATCAGAGGCTCAGTCATGGAGATTGCAGGCTGGGGATGGAAGTATCCCTGGAGTTGAGCTGTTCTCACACCTAGTACCTGAGTTATACCCCTGGTGTCTGGGTACCAAGGTCACTAGCCTTGCCACTTTTCTATGTTCCTGATCCCCTACTAAATAGTCCACCTTTTTGCCTACTTCCCCTGACGCGTGTACCCTGTCCCCCACTTGTCCCCTCTTTCTGCCTAATTTGAAGACATGGGTCATCCCATAACCTGTCCTGGGCTAATATATATCCTCGAATTGTTCTTGAAAATCTGTTCCTGGCCAGGCGCGGCCCAGCACTTTGGGAGGCTGAAGCAGGTGGATCATGAGGTCAGGAGATCGAGACCATCCTGGCTAACGCGGTGAAACGTCTCTACTAAAAATACAAAAAATTAGCCAGGCATGGTAGCGGGCGCCTGTAGTCCCAGCTACTTGGGAGGCTGAGGCAGAAGAATGGCGTGAACCTGGGAAGCGGAGCTTGCAGTGAGCCGAGATGGCTCCACCACACTCCAGCCTGGGCAACAGAGTGATACTCCATCTCAAAAAAAGGAAAATCTGTTCTCTGTGAGATGGGCCTGATCTCTCCCATGGGTGGAGCAGAGGAGTAGAGGGTCCAGGGGGCCTGAGTCTCCCATAGGCTGTTTGCCCTGAGTCATAAAGCCAGTGGGAGGCAGTGCTACAGTCTGATTCCAGGAAGTCTCAGGCCCAAGCTCTTACTCTTTTTTTTTTTTTTTTTTTTTGAGACAGAGTCTTGCTCTGTCGCCCAGGCTGGAGTGCAGTGGCCGGATCTCGGCTCACTGCAAGCTCCGCCTCCCGGGTTTACGCCATTCTCCTGCCTCAGCCTCCCGAGTAGTTGGGACTACAGGCGCAGGCCACCACGTCCGGCTAAAAAGAAAAAAAAAATTTTTTTTTTGAGGAGTCTCACTATATAGGATTCTCACGTTATCCTGTTTGGATCTGCGTTAAAATATATTCATAACTATATGATCTGTACTCACAGCCACCGCCCCCCAACAACTTAAGCCTGCGAGACTGTGCCACAGACCCGCCCCGGCGTGGCATGGGGACAAAACACGTGAGGGCGCTCGAGGGGCCTGGCTCTCTCGCTTGCTGCTCACCTAAAACCCCGCAGACTCCTGTCCCCCATCTTGGGGTCCCGCAACCTCGAGTCTCACAACCTTGGGCGCCACAGCCCCGCTCTGCGCGCCGCGGCCTTTCCTCTCGCCAACGCCATCCGAGTGTTGGTGCTGACTGTTCTCACCGCTAGCTCCCAGAGGTCCCCGCGGCCCGGGCACCTGTCGCATTCTCCGGCGCAACGTGGTCGTCATGGCAACGCCGGCCTCGGGTCCCTGATTGGCCGTCGAGTCTGGCGCGCCTTCCCTGCCTCACCTAACCGGGCTGCGGTGTGGAGGCGACGATGGAGGCGCAGCGCAGGCGGGATGAGTTGTTATGGCGACCAGAGTCCCGCCTCTTCAACGCTACATAGGGCCTCCGATTGGTCCGCGCTTCCCCGAAGGCCTCTCCGCGTTCTGGGCGGGGCCAGCCCGGGGCATGACGGGGGAGAAGGCAGGGTGGTGACTCTAAGGGCAAAGGAGAGAACTGCAGCTGTGATCTTGGGAAGGAGGGAAACCCAAAGATGCCAGCACGTGCGGTTGAGGTGAGAAGGGATCTTGCAGAACGCTTCCAGGACCCAGGTTCGAATGCAACCCCTGCCCAGCTGGTCAGCCTCAGTTTCCCCATCTGTCAGTCTGGACAGTGATCCCCCCAGCGTCCGGCGAAGCCCCGCTCTTGGCCCTTGGTCCCTCGGCCTGATCACAAGAGGGTGTCGCGACGGCCGGGGATGGGTCTGGCGTGGGCAGGGACCTCTCCGACCCTCATTGAGGAAAGAGTGGCGGAACCCGAAAACCAGGCCCTTGCGTCCCTCCTGCAGGGTGGGTAGGAGAGCTGGACGGCAGGATTTGGGAAGGGCTTGGGGAGCAGGGGACCCCTGAGCGTGGCGGGGGAGGCAATGCTAGCAGAACCATGACTCGGTTGGCTCAGCCCCTTGGACCTCGTCTGCTCCCTGAGGTTGGTCCTTGCTCCGCACACTGGTGCGGCCTGTTACACAGAAGGCGCTCAGTAAACACTTGTGGATGAAGGGAAAAGAGGATTTATTGTCCTTCATTTACAGAAAAGAGAATCAAATGCTGTCCCGTGCTGGGCCCTCTGGCACCGGGCTTCACAAACACCCAGGCCTGCCAGTAGGAGGAAGTCTGGGGCCGAAGTGCTAAGGGGCAGGGTGTACATTAGTGATGGGGTGGTCAGAGAGAGGCTAGAAGGGCACAACTCCAGCTCTGAAGAAGAGAAAGAGGAGATTGGCTGAGGCCGGGCAAGGGTGGGAGGCATCCCCTTGGGTGGTTTCAGGCAGCCCCTTTGTTTGAAGGCAGTGTGGGTAGGCAGGCAGACACCGGGCACTAAGGTAGTAATCAGCAGACCAGATGCTCGACAACCCCTAGGCTCAGTTATCATCCTCAATTTACTGCAAGAGAGAATGAGGCCCCTGGCTCCAAGCTGATAGAGTGCAGAAGCCACAAAAGCCCCTGGGAGCGAGCTGGTTAAGAGAGAGAGTGGGGCCAGCCCTACCCAATACCCTCAGCCCCACCCCTGGCCTCCCCAGGTCCTCCTGTATTTGTGCAGGCTATGCCACCGGCCTCAATGCCAACTCCTGAGCATCCTTTAGGACATAGCTGCCTCCTCTAGACAGCCTTCCTGGACCACCCTCAGGCAGAGAGCATCCTCTCTCCCTCTTCTGTGCAACACCAGGCAAGGGCCCCTTTCTGACACCCTGCTTGGCCCGTCTGGGTCAGATCTACTATTGCACACCCCCACTCTCCTAGGTTGGGTGGGAGAGGGAAGCAATGAGGAGGATCTCTGAGACCCTATGGTAGGCAGAATAATGGCCTCCAAAGATATCCCCGTCCGAATCCCTGGAACTTGTGAATCTTTTACCTGACACCACAGAATGGACTTTGCAGGTGTGATTAAATTAATGATGATGAGATGGGGAGACTATCTTGGATTATCAGGGTAGGTGCCATGTGCTCATAGTGTCCTTTATAAGTGAAAGAGGGAGGCAGGAGGGTCAGAGAGATTTGAAGATGTTGCACTGCTGGCTTTGAAGGAGCCAGGAGCTAAGGAATGCAGCCCTAGAAGCTGGAAAAACTAATGAAGTGGATTATCTCTTAGAGCCTCCAGAAAGAACTAGCCCTATGGGCACGTCCACTTTAGCCCAGGGAAACTGATTGTGGACTTCTGGACTGCAGAACTGCAAGATAGTAAGTGTGTGTTTAGCCAGGCATGGTGGCCCGTGCCTGTAATCCCAGCACTTTGGGAGGCGAGGTGGGTAGATTACTTGAGACCAGGAGTTCAAGACCAGCCTGGTCAACATGGTGAAACCCCGTCTCTATTACAAATACAAAAAGTCGGGCATGGTGGCAGGCGCCTGTAATATCAGCTAATTGGGAGACTGAGGCAGGAGAATCGTTTGAACCCAGGAGGCAGAGGTTGCAGTGAACCGAGGTTGCGCCACTGCACTCCAGCCTGGGCTACAGAGCGAGACTCTGTCTCAGAAAAAAATTAATTAATTAATTAATTAAATAAGGCTGGCCGCGGTGGCTCAGGCCTGTAATCCCAGCACTTTGGGAGGGCGAGGTGGGCAAATCACAAGGTCGGGAGTTTGAGACCAGCCTGACCAACATGGTGAAACACTGTCTCTACTAAAAATACAAAAATTAGCCCAGCATGGTGGCGGGCGCCTCTAATCCCAGCTACTTGGGAGGCTAAGGCAGAAGAATTGCTTGAACCCGGGAGGCAGAGGTTGCAGTGAGCCGAGATCACACTGCACTCCAGCTCAGGCGACAGAGCAAGACTCCGTTTCAAAAATAAATAAATAAATAAACGCATGTCCTAAATAATTAAGTTGGGGGTATTTTGTCACAGCAGCCAGAGAAAATGAATAGACCACTAACTCTGCTGCTGTCTGACCAGGTTTCTTCCCTATGAGGCTGGGCTGTGGCTGCCCAGTGACTCAGTACACTGGTCCCAGCCCCTGTGGGTGACATCGGCATGTGGGTGTGGGCAAGAACTGGTCTGGGAAGACACACTATGGACTCCCTAGTATTCCTCCTCTGGTTCCCACCTGGAAGCAGCAGCTTACACCAGAGCTAGCTCTAGACCGTCCTGGGCCCAGGGTGCATTCCCAGGTTGCCTGGGTCACCTGCAATTCTGACACTCCCTTGTTTGGCACCTACTGTATGCTGGTATACTGATGCTGAGAACACACGTAAACAAATCAAACAGGAGCTTCCAGCCACGTAGAAGTCATATTTCTCTTTGGAACATGCTGGGTGCCCATTCCCAAAACACAGCACTCCATCCCAGAGTGAGGTGAGGCAGGATGCGGGGGTGCAGGGCCTGGGAGGAAACAGAAGCCTCAGGTTCAGTCTGCACAGAGGATAGCTGCCATCTTCCCCCATAACTAACCCAGGAAGGCTTCTGGGAGGAAGAGGACAGGAGCCCATACACCACTTTCCCTGCAGGCTGCTGTTTATCGGGAAGGCTCAGGGTTCACCTTGAGACACAAGAAAGGAGGCTCAGCAGGACAGATGGAGCCCTGGAGGAAGAAATGCAGTAACTGGCACCAAGATATTAATCGGGGGTGATGGGGACTCTGGTGGCCAGGGAAAGGGACTAGGATGCCTCTGGCTAACCAAGGAGGTCCAGGACTCCCACCCCCACCATTGTCTGCCTCTGTGTGACCCCTGGGGTGACCTTGGCCTCTCTGAGCCATGATGAGCTCAGCTGCACCACAGCATATTGGGAGGAACCTAGAAGCCACGACCCAGGGGGAAGTGGAGGCTCCCAGAGCAGTTTGGGACTTAGGATTGCGGCGGGTGCCAGTCTTTAAGACTCAAGTTCCTCCCCAGCCCTGGCCAGGACACCCTGCTCCTTCAAGTCTGAGCCCCAGCCCCAACCAAGTGTGCAGGATGGCAACTCTACACCCAGGATCAGCATGTAGACAGCTGGAGCCCACCCAGGTCCAGCCTGCAGGCAGTAGAAAACAAACTCCACAGATGGACGGAGAGGTGGGACATCCCCTGCAATGGGCCAGTTGGGGAGGCACCATAACCAGGGAATAATAGCCGCAGCAGCTCTGCCCTCCAAAGATGGCTGCCACCTGTGGCCAGTCCGAAGGATGAGTGCTTCGGCCTCCGGTGCTGGTAAGGACGCTCTCCCGGCACTCTGTGGTGAGGATGAATGGGGGTACTCCCAGCAGGACCTGTTCAGGGATCCGTGTGGGGCTGCCCCTGGCTGGGCACCTGCATGGATGTCAGTCGGGGGTGTCCACAACTGGACTCCTACAAGGGATGAGGATCAGGGATGCTTCCACCTGCACCCCCACGGAGTAGGGGTTCGGGAGCAGGAGCAAGCCCTAGCAGGACCCTTATGGAGGTCACGGTCAGGGCACCCTCTGCTGTACAGCCACAAGAATGGGGGCCAGGGGTGTTCCCAGAGGATCCTTGTGGGATGACTGCAGTGTCTGCTCCTTGAGAGGGTCCAGCCCCACGATGACAATGCCAACGATGCTTGCCCCAGGCCCCAGCCTGGAGAAACAGGTAAGTGCTGTGTGCCCTGCTAAAGGCCCCAGATAACACGGAGGTGCCAGGCCTGGCGGCAGGACTGCAGTGCTGGCGCCCTTACTGTGGGCCCCACGGCCTCCTCGCACCCCGTGGCCACGGGGCCCAGCCAGGGCCAGCCTCTGTGCCCCACGCGCCGTCCGATCGCCTGTCCAGCGTCCCCTCGTTCTCTGCCGGATCCTCGGGGCCCGCCTGGGGCTCCAGCGCATCTTCTGCAGTTCCTGGCAGTGTCGTGTCTAGGTCAGGGCCCGTGGGGCGCGGCGTCCAGGCGGGGGTCCAGGGCACCCCCGGCGTGGGCCTCGGCGGGAACCAAGAGAAGCCTGGCGCTGGGGCGAGCGCCACGAGCTGGGGCCGCGCGGGGCCGGAGGAGGTGGCGTGCGGGATGAGGAAGAAGATGTAGACGCCCGAGACCACGAGGCCCGCGGCCACCAGCACGGCCAGCGCCACGGCCGCGTTGAAGACCCAGGCCGGGCTGGCCAGCGACAGGCGGCGCGACAGCGGGCGGCCCAGGCGCAGAGGCGGCGGGGGCGGCGGGGCGCGGGCCTTGCGCGGCCCGGGCGGGGGCGGCGGCGGCCGCAGGTAGAGGAGGCCGCGGCGCCGGTCGAAGCGCACGGAGCCCTGGCGAGAGGGCGGCGCGCACGCGTCGCGGGGCAGGAGACCGGACTGCGTGGGCAACGCGGGGAGTCCGCGGCGGGGGGCCAGGCGCGTGGGTGCGCGGCACACTGGACAGGCCACCGCGTTGCCGCCGCCCGCCGTGGCCAACGACAGGCGCGCCAGGCACTCGAGACAGAAGACGTGGCCGCAGTCCAGGCGCTTGGGCAGCTTGAACACGCCGTCGAAAGACGACACGCAGATGAGGCACTCCACCGGGGAGGCGGGGGACAGGATGGGGCTGGAGCCTGGGCTGCCGTCCCCCTCCTCCTCCTCCTCCTCCTCCTCCTTGTCCTCCCCTCTGCTTGGGGAGCTGGGACCCGAGCCCTGGGGGGCCCGGGAATGGCGGAGCCAGAACGGCCGAGGGCAGGGCATCGGGACGGACCTGCGAGGAGAGGAGGTCAGGCAGGGAAGAAGGCAGTGGAGCATGGAGCGGGTTCTGAGACCACCAGGGAATCCAGGGAAGACTGAGGACTGTACTTTAGAGAGGATCCCCCAGTACAGAGCAGGACCATCCCGAGAAGGGTATAGTTACGTCCAGGAGCAGGGGAGATGGGGAGGCCCGAGGCAGAGACTGGGGATAGGAATGGACCCACAGGGGACCAGTTCCTGAATTGGAAATGTAGACAAGTTGAACACGGAGATGGTGAGGACTCCAGACAGGGATGGAAAAGACCTAACCCAGAGAGGAGCAGAGAGATATGCAGCCCTCAGGAGCTCGGCGGAGAGAACCTGGAGGACCATACAACACCCCAGTGGAAGCGACATCGACACCTAGGCTGGGAAAGGAACTCTGCTGAGAAAGGAGCCAAGCACAGGAGCCAGGGGGCACCCACAGAGCAATGACAGACCCCAGCCGGCCTGTGGGACCCTTCCTACCTGTGGACGCCTCCTCCCTCTGGCCAGTGGCGTGTCCCTGCCTGTTCTGACCGTTTCCGGCCTACCTGCAGCTGGGCTCAAAAGTACCCTCCCAGGGGGAGGGTGCTCATCTGGGGCCACCCCTCCAGGTCCCAGGTACCCGCTGGACCCGTTTGACTGCCTGCCCCGCCCCCTGGGCCAGCGCCACGAGGATGAACACCAAGCCTGCTTTGGCCAGATGATGGGGGCTGTGGAAGGGTGGGCTTGGGCCCACCCCACCCCACCCCACCCTTCAGAACCTGATGAGTCTTCTACCAGAGTCACCAGCCTGTGGCCCTGGGTGGGTCCCAACCTGTCCCCAGCAGCCTCATGACACTGCATGGACACTGGCGGAAGGGAACCCGTACAGCCCACGGAAACCGGGCGTACAGGCCTGGGCTGCAGCCACAACCAGTGTGGCCGGGGAGGTAACCAGGAGTGCAACCTAGCCAGGGTGAAACCAGCCCACACTCCAAGAGGGGGGCAAACCTAGAGATCTGAAATCAAGTGGCCCCAACAGCTGAACTTCCCTGCTCTCCCCAGGGCTACTTCAAGGTGACAAGCCTCTCAGGATGGTCTTGTGACTACCCAGACCTCACAGGCACGCAAGCCACCCACCCACCCAGACCACAGCAACATCTCACACGCCACGCCCTCAGAAGTTATGGACAACCCCATCTCATTTCCAGTACCTGCTGGGACACTCCAGGCAGCCTGGCCTGCTTCCGGTGCCCCACCTGCTAGCCTGGGGGTGCCACGGTTCTGAGTCAGCAATGCTTCCAGGTCCCCACAGGCAAACAGGTCAGGAAGGTGAGCAGCTCCCAAGGCCACCAGGACTATGCCACCCACACCACCCCCAACGAAGACAGACAACGGCAGAGGTGGGTGGGGCTGCCCCAAAGGGCAGACAGGTTTATTGGGCAGCAGCCGGGAAAATCAGCGGTTGGACTTGGCCACACGCTCCAGCTCGTCCTTCTTCTTAATGGCATAGGAGTTGGAGGAGCCCTGCAAGGAGACAGACAGTCAGCTCTGAATTCTGAAGGACCCCCACAAACACCGAACTTAAGACCCCCCAACCAGAGCGCCCTCACCCACCTTGGCAGCATTGATGAGCTCATCTGCCAGGCACTCAGCAATGGTCTTAATGTTCCTGAAGGCAGCCTCACGAGCGCCTGTGCACAGCAGCCAGATGGCCTAGGGAGAGAGCAGGGGTCAGGCTAAAAGGACAGACTGCGGTCCTCCCAGCACCGTGGGCCCACCCCCAAGAGATGCTGTCAGCCATGTCACCCATAGGTCCACTGAGACAAGAGGTAAGGGGAGGTGACATCATGCCAGATTTGCAATCAGACAGAGGGTCACAAGAGCAAGTGTCCAGACACACACACACAGGCTGAAGTTGCATCCCCAATGACAGGAGATTGAGATCCGTCTCAACAGCAAACTGCTAGATTGCCAGGCGCAGTGGCTTGCGCCTGTAACACTTTGGGATGCTGAGGCAGGAAGATCACTTTGGCAGGGAGTTTGAGACCAGCCTGAGCAGCGTGGTGAAAGCCCACCTCTACAAACAACAAGAAACCCAACAACAACAAAAAATGCGGCCAGGTGTGGTGGCTCATGCCTGTAATCCTAGCACTTTGGGAGGCTGAGGGGACAGGATAATTTGAGACCAGGAGTTCAAGAACACCCTGAGCAACACAGACTCAATCTCAATTATTTCTTTAAAAAAAAAAAAAAAAAAGAGGCAATATATTTGCTTTTAACTTGGACCCGATTGACAATGAGCCACTATAAAGGGCATTCTGGGCACAGATGCTAAATGCAACAATGACTGATTTGACTATTCTATTACTGTTAAATTTGTTCCTGGGGGTGACGATGCGAGTAGGTCATCTTTGTTAAAACACCTGCTGTGTTCAGGGGAAACACAATCGGAGTATCTGCAACTGATTCTCAAACTATCCAAAAAAAAAAAAGAAAAAAGTACATATACACACACAGTGTAAAAATATACACCCAAAGGAAAGACCTCTGCGAAATGTGGTCCAGAAGAGGACCCAGAGCCTGGATCTGCCCCTATGCAGGGTGGGAATCCAGGAAGGCTTCCTAGAGGAAGTGATGCTGCAGGTAAAACATGTAGGCAGAGACAAGACTTCCTGCCCCAGGCAAGACCCCACCCACTCCCATGGCTGTGTCCACCCTGCCACGTGCGTAAGCCCCAGGCTCACCTGATTCACACGGCGCAGTGGGGACACGTCCACAGCCTGTCGTCTCACAGTCCCGGCACGTCCAATGCGGGTGGAGTCCTCCCGGGGACCACTGTTGATGATGGCGTTCACCAGGACCTGCAGAGGGTTCTAGAGAGAAGGGGGCTATGAGCCTGACATCCAGCCCCATGCATTCCTCCCCCTTCCTCACCCCTAAAACAAGAGTGAACGCACCACACAGGGGATAAGCCTGGCATACACACCGTGGGGCTTTGGGATGTACTGAGGGCACAGCCTGCCCTCACCAGGCCACAGAGCCCTACCTCGCCTGTGAGCAGGTGTATGATCTCGAAGGCGTGCTTGACGATGCGCACAGTCATCAGCTTCTTGCCGTTGTTGCGGCCGTGCATCATCATGGAGTTAGTGAGGCGCTCCACAATGGGACACTGAGCTTTGCGGAAGCGTTTGGCGGCATACCGCCCTGCACTGTGAGGCAGGTACTTGGCATACTTCTCCTTCACTGCTATGTAATCCTGGGGCAGCAGGGAGCAGGAAATGAAGGGAAAATGGTCAGGAGCAGCATGGGTGTTGGCCAGACACCAGAGGAGAAATCGAGTACCCATTTCGGGTAGTCCAACAGCCGTCTGGAACCCTGGTATGCCTCCCCAGGGGACTTGGATATAAGCCCCATCCACCATGAGGAAAAAAACCCTGAACAGGTGACTACCAAGTCGCTAAAAAGTACACTTTCTTTATAATCAAAGAGTGGGAATCTAAGGAGACTAGATTTTGGACCAGATAATTGTTTGGGGAGCTATCCTGCACACTACAGGATGTTTAACAGCCATCTGGTATGCCACTGGCAATCCCCCGCCTTTTTTTTTTTTTTGTGACGGAGTCTCGCACTATTACCTGGGCCGGTGTGCAGTGGCGCCATCTCAGCTTGCTGCAACCTCTGACTCCGAGGTTCAAGCAATTCTCCTGCCTCAACCTCCAGAGTAGCTAGGATTACACGCGCCTGCCACCATGCCCAGTTAGTTTTTTTTGTGTGTATTTTTAGTAGAGACAGGGTTTCACTATGTTGGCCAGGCTGGTCTTGAACTCCTGAACTCGTGATCCACCTGTCTCGGCCTCCCAAAGTGTTGGGATTACAGGCGTGAGCCACTGCGCCTGGCCTGTTCTTTTTTTTTCCCCCTTGACTGAGTCTTGCTGTTGCCCAGGCTGGAGTGCAGTGGCGCGATCTTGGCTCACTGCAACTTCTGCCTCCTGGGTTCAAGTGATTCTCCTGCCTCAGTCTCCTGAGTAGCTGGGATTACAGGCACACGCCACCAAGCCCAGCTGAATTTTTTGTACTTTTAATAGAGAAGGGGTTTCACTATTTCGAGCAGGCTGTTCTTGAACTCTTGACCTCAAGTGACCTGCCCGCCTTGGGCTCCCAAAGTGTTGAAATTACAGGCATGAGCCACGGTGCCTGGCACCATACCGGTCAGTTTTCACACCTAAAAATGTATCCAGACATTGCTAAGTGTCCCCTAAGACAGGGGACCATAAGAGCTACAGTTTTTTTGTTTTTCGTTTGTTTTTTGAGATGGAGTCTGTCTCCCAGGCTGGAGTGTAGTGGTGCAATATTGGCTTACTGAAACCTCCGCCTCCCAAGTTCAAGCGATTCTCCTGCCTCACCTTCCCAAGTAGCTGGGACTATAGGTGCACGCCACCATGCCAGGCTAATTTTTGTATTTTTAGTAGAGACGGGGTTTCGACACATTGGCCAGGCTGGTCTTGAATTCTTGACCCCTGGTGATCTGCCCGCCTCAGCCTCCCAAACTGATGGGATTACAGGCATGAGCCACCGCACCTGGCTGAGAACTTTTCTGTTTTTTTGGTTTTTTTTTTTTTTTGAGACAGTCTCACTCTATCACCCAGGTTGGAGTGCAATGTCGCCATCTCAGCTCACTGCAACCTCCGCCTCCTGGGTTCAAGCAATTCTCCTGCCTCAGCCTCCCAAGTTGCTGGGATTACAGACATGCGTCACCATGCCCGGCCCAGTTTTTTTTGAGATGGAGTTTCATTCTTGTTGGCCAGAATGGAGTGCAATGGCATGATTTCAGCTCACCCCAACCTCCACCTCCCAGGTTCAAGTGATTCACCTGCATCAGCCTTCCAAGTAGCTGGGACAACAGGTGCACACCACCATGCACGGCTAATTTTTATATTTTTAGTAGAGACAGGGTTTCACCATGTTGGCCAGGCTGATCTCAAACTCCTGACCTCAGATGGTCTGCCCACCTCGGCCTCCTGAGTGCTGGGATTACTGCGCCTGGCCCAGAACCACAGTTTTAAAACAATCATTTAACAAGCCTTCTTATACTTACATAGCCATCCCCCCATAAAAATCTAGAAAAATGCCAAAAAATTGACCCTGTGTATGTACGGGGGAAGAGAGGAGCTATGTGTATTCAAAGAAGACTGCTGTTGATAGCTCCATTACAAAATGTACCCAAGGCCATTCTATCACTTGCCTCTTAGAATATATACAAACTACCTGTTTCTACAAATACAAGGAATGATGGGAAAAGAACACAAGACACTGAAACTCTCAGTACTATTTCATAGTCTGGCTGCAAGAAAAAAAAACTCACAGTCTGGTGAAGGGCATTCAGGCAGGGCTTTCATTATGCAGCAAAAAATTGCACAAACCAAATTCCCCAGCAAGGGTTTGGCCCAACAGTGGAGCCTTGCACAGGTGTTTAAAATACAGTGAACTCCTGTTGATGTTTATTTCCCTAGCGGAACAGGCACCTAACAAATGTTTAGTAGATCAAGGAGTTTGAGGCCAGCCTGGCCAACATGGTGAAACCCTGTCTCTACTAAAAATACAAAAATTAGCTGGGCGTGGTGGCATGCACCTGTAGTTCCAGCTGGGGAGGCTGAGGCAGGAAAATCACCTGAACCTAGGAGGCAGAGGTTGCAGTGAGCCGAGATCATGCCACTGCACTCCAGCCTGGGTGAGAGAGGAAGACTCCATCTCAAAAAAAAAAAAAAAAAGTAACAGAGACCCAACGTGGCCCACAAAGTCTAAAACACTTACTATCTGGGCCTATAATGAAAATGTTTGTGGGCTGGGCGCGGTGGCTCATGCCTATAACCCCAGTATGTTGGGAGGCTGAGGCAGGAAAGTCACTTGACCTCTGGGAGGCAGAGGTTGCTGTGAGCAGAGATCGCACCACTGCACTCCAGCCTGGGAGACAGAGTGAGACTCTTGTCTCACAAATAAATAAGGCCAGGCGTGGCGGCTCATGCCTATAATCCCAGCACTTTGGGAGGCTGAGGCGGGTCGATCACCTGAGGTCAGGAGTTCAAGACCAGCCTGGCTAACAGAAACCCCTCTCTAATAAAAATACAAAAATTAGGCTGGGCGCAGTGGCTCACGCCTGTAATCCCAGCACTTTGGGAGGCTGAGGCGGGCGGATCACCTGAGGCCAGGAGTTAAGAGATCAGCCTGACCAGTATGATGAAACCCCGTCTCTACTAAAAATACAAAAATTAGCTGGGCATGGTGGCATGTGCCTGTAATCCCAGCTACTCAGGACAGCAGAATTTTGTATTAAGTTTTGCAACTGGGAAGTGTGAGCTGTCTTACTTTGTTCCTACTCCATACAGTTTTACACATACCCTTTTTCTCCCCTCCCCACCAAGGCAGGAGAATCACGTGAACCCAGGAGGCAGAGGTTGCAGTGAGCCAAGACTGCACCACTGCACTCCAGCCTGGGCAACAAGAGTGAAACTGTCTCAAAAAAACAAAAAGCTGGACATGGTGGCAGGCACTTGTAATCACAGCTACTCGGGAGGCTGAGGCAGGAGAATCACTTGAACCTGGGAGCCGGAGGCTGCAGTGAGCTGAGATTGTGCCACTGCACTCCAGACTGGGCGACAAGAACGAAATTCTGTCCCAATAAATAAACAAATAAATAAATAAATGTTTGTGGACCCCCTGAAATAACCCATGAAGGAAAGATCTACAAGATATTCACAGTGAAAAACAAGGCTGAATTATCCATTAGGTAAGGTGTCTAAGTCCCCTGACATCTTTACAGACAACAAAAAAGTTTTCATTCTTTCTAAAACAAAAGGTAGCAGGTTTGGTGGCATGCACCTGTGGTCCCAGCTAGTTGGAGTCTAAGACAGGAGGATCCCCTGAGCCCAGGTGTATCGAGGCTGCAGTGAACTGTGATCATACCACTGCAGTCCAGCCTGGGTGTCAGAGAGCAATCCTATCTCGAAGATAAAACTTTAATGATTAAAAAAAGAAAAAGAGGAGGAAAGTGAATAAAGTACGACCCAAATTATATTCATCTTTATACTAATGTAGTCACAAAATTTAATTTCAAATATTTTCTTTTAATGGAGGAAGGGCTCACAAAAGTGAAAGTTCCTAAGGCCCACAAAATTCTTAATGATGCCTTGGTGGGGAGGGGAGAAAAAGGGTATGTGTAAAACCGTATGGAGTAGGAACAAAGTAGGACAACTCACACTTCCCAATTGCAAAACTTAATACAAAGCAAGAAAGTGTGGTACTGGTGTAAGGACAGACATATAGACCAATGGAATACAACTCAGAGTCCATAATGAAACCCATACATCTACGGCCAGCTGATTTTTGACAAGTGGCCAAGGCCATTCAATTGGGGGAAAAAAAATCTCTTTAAGAGATGGTATTGGATAACCGGATATTCACATGCAGAAGAATGACACTGGATATTATGTATTTTACTACAAAAACAGTAACAAAAATACCATATGTGAGATGTGATGCTCCTTCTGGTGAAGGAGTCCTCTCCTGACAAAACTTGTAGTCATCTCTGAACAGGACGTAAGAGCGAATGTGGTAGATGTGGTGGTCAAGGAATCCCTTCTTTACCTGTTATGACCTCTATTCTTGACTTAGTGGCACATCAACAAGTTTGATGTGTTCCTTCCTGGAATAATCTCCGCCCCCAGCCGGGAAGGCCAATCACAAGTTCCCCTCACCTGTAGAGAAATGTCATTGATCTGCACATCATCGGTGCTCCACTTCCCAAAGAGCTTGATGTCTGGGGTCTCTGCCACAGCTGGTGCCGCTGTCTCCCACTCGGTCATCCTGGGACAGGGTGATGACAGGAAAAAAACGTCAGAGCCCAGCTAGCATGGAGCAGAGGTGCACCCATCCCCAACTCTGAGGCTAGCCCCAGAGCTGATGAACTGGGGAGTCGCAAAGGACCAAGACAGGCTGTGAACGTGTTTTCAAGCACTAGAAAAATTACTCAGCTCTCAGCAAGAAGCATCTGTCTTTCACCTAGAACCCCTGGGCTCAAGACTTGGCAGCCCACCAGTCAACAGCTGCTGCATTGGGACCAAGGTATAACGGCTCAGCAGATGCCAAATGTCCTTACATTGCATCGGCTGTAATTCAAACCACAACCTCGCCATTCACATGGTCTTTGACCCAAGTTAACATTCTGCCTCGGACTGTTTCCTTGGCCGTGAGGTGGGACCGCTATATGACATCAAGGACCACGGTAGGTACTGTGTGGCACAATCAACCCAAAGGTTTCGATTCTTGACCGACAGTATGAAGGTTCTAGGGGCTGCTATTAAGGAGGGAAAGTTACACAGAGCAGAAGAGTGCACTGTGTGCCTAAGAAATAGAAATTTCCTCTCAGAGTACAACTGCATAGTACAAACCAAAATCCCCAAGCCCCGCTATGGGGAAAAGCTAGAAGCAGCGAAGCACCAGGAAGAAATCAAGAGTAACTGGTACCGCGCCCGTTTCTTCTACATTTTTTTTTTCCAGAGACAGAAGTAAGACCTAATGAGAAAGGCCTAGGTCGCGGGGTACTATCCCGGAAAGACCATGAACCGTCCCTAGGATCCCCGGCCCCGCGGCGGTCTCACCTGAGAACACAGCCTGAGCGTCTCTGTCGCTCACAGAAGACCACGCGCCGCCCTGGCACAGACAGGAAAAGGCCGCCCGCCGCGGGCCAACGCTTTTAACTGGGAAGAAAACTTCCGGGTCAGCAGGGCCGACGCTTGCGTAAAAGGCCATCATGTCCCTAAGGACCAATCCGGAGGAAGGATGTAGAGGAACCTTTTGGGCTAGACGGAACGGGTGCAGCCCAGGCGCATGCGCAGTTGCAAAAGCGGCCCTAGAAGCGGGTCTGGCGGATGTTGGCTACCCCGTACTTGCCCTGTTTTGTGGGCGCCTGCAGAAGCGCAGAGATTTCCGTGAGGCCAACGCCGCCATGTCTAATAAGTAAAAAAGTCCGGCCCGCGCTCGCTTCTTTGTTCAGCTGCTGACCTTAAATCCCACCTGTCGCGGGAGTAGCCAGTTCAGTTCCCTCTGGCTCCTCTCCGCGGCGACAGCCGCCTCACAGGCACGCGCGTGCTGCGGACCTGGGTTGGCGGAGTGGGGCCCAGCGGTCACCGCCACTCCACAGGTCCGGGTTGCCGCGCGCATGCGCCTGCCCACACGCGGCCCCTCCCCCACCTCCCGACCTAGGAGCACCGCGCTCGCGAGTCCTGGGTCCCAAGCCTCTGACTGGGCTTTTTTCCCAGGGGGACCTTTCCTGTCATACCACGCTGGGTTCCCCCACAACCTCCGCGCCCTTCACGTCTGCTATGCAGTAATCGCGCCCGCGAAAGAGGGGAGACCGCCGGCACGAGGGCCCGGGGTTGCGGCGGCTGGAGCAGCGCTACCCGCTCGGGGTGGAGCACGAAGGTAGCCTACAGGCTACGCGCAGTGTCCGGGAGGAGGGGGTCGGCAGGTCGGGGGCCTTTCGTGTTTGTCGTTGCGTCCTCTACGGCCGGGGAGCCCGCGCGAGGGCTTGCAGCTCCCTGCCCTCAGGGCTCAAGTCACGAAGCCCTCGTGTCTGCAGACCTGGCTCTCAGGGGTGCCTCTTGAACGGGCCGACCTCTCCGAGGGCCAGAAACTTAGGTTTTTAGCCAAAGACTGAAAGGAGGGATGGAAGATTAAGCCATGAGATGGAGATTATTCCCGCCAGCAAACAATCCGCTGCCCCCCTTCACTTCTGTCCCTTCCCCCAGCTGCCTCTGAACAGGTAGGCCCTCTGAACAGCTCAGCCCTGGCTGGGCAGACAGCGAACCCTCTCAGAGGGCCTGAGCTATTGCGTGGGATTGAGGACGTGGGTCTTCGACCCGGGGTCCTTATCCGTGCGTGGGGTTGGCACGGTAGTGAGTGCCCCAGCTCACTCTATTCACTTGGCCACCCTGGCAGCCAGTGTGGACAGTATGCCTGCCCATGACTCCTTCATATCCCTCTGCCTGTCCCAGCTTGTTAGACCTAGTCTCATGAGCAGAACTGGGTTTCCAGACGTAGCGACCACTGTTGACTGTATGTCTGCCTGCAGCACGCATAGACGTGAAGGCCAGACTCCAGGACCACCTGGGGCTGCCCTCTGATGCCCACCTCTGCCTCCAAGGGGGTATCCCTCCAACTCGGGATCCCAAGGGCCCAGCCACTTGACCCAGGTCCCAGGGCTATGCCTGCCCTCTACTCCCACCTCTGAGGCATGCACATAGCAGATGCCCAGCAGCTGTGTTTCTTCACTGCCTGCCTGTAAAGGCTCTTCTTACCCCAATCCAGGGGCATTTCTGTCTGGCTGCTGAGGACTCCCTACAGTGGGCCCCTTGGACTATGGTCAGTTACAGCTCAGGAAAGGACACATGCCCTGAAGCTGGCCTGGTCAGGGGGTCAGTCTCTGGTGAGGGGCACAGCCAACTGCCACCACCCAATGACCTTTACCCCTGCCCTCCATCCTGTGCAGAGTAGCAGCCTCGGGGCTCTCACTGGGGTCTGCGTGGTTGCAGGAGGGGCTAGGTGGGCTCCTCCCTGGTCTTGAGTGAGGGGCATGGGGGAGTGCTGGTTGTAGGGAGGGTGGGAGCAAACAGGCAGCACTCATCAGGATAGGTTCAGCCCACCCCTCTGAACCTGTTTTCCCCTTCAGTGTGGAAAGGAGAATGCAATCTCAGGCAAGATCAATGTGAACTCTGTGGCCTGGCCACCATGGTCACTTAATAATGGACATCTTTATAGACCTCATGAGAATGACCCACCATGCTGCAGAGGGCAGGTGCCCTCAGGTGTGGGGTGGTGAATACTACAGAGCCAAGACTCATGTATCCGCCTGCCAGGCCCAGGGTGGTCCTGCCTCCCCAGGTCCCCAAGGTGCTAGGGTAAGATGCAGAATATGACCTTATAGGTCTAGGGCTGCTGGTGCTATGTTCTTCAGACTGGATGAGGACCCCAGGGACTCTGCAGAGATCCACCTCACTTCTGGTACATTGTGTCCATCCTGAGTGGCCCCAGACTGGAGTCCTCACTTCTAGGAAGGCACCCTCTGGGCCCTGCTGGGCCACCTGCCCACTCTCCAGGCAGTCACTTTGCCTGTCCACCCTACCAGCCACAGTCCTACTGTCAGCTGATCTTATGTCCTTGTGATGGCTCCTTTTTTTTTGGAGACCGAGTCTTGCTCTGTCACTCAGGCTGGAGTGCAGTGACCCAATCTTGGCTCACTGCAAGCTCTGCCTCCCGGGGTCACGCCATTCTCCTGCCTCAGCCTCTTGAGTAGCTGGGACTGCAGGCGCCCGCCACCACGCCCGGCTAATTTTTTTGTATTTTTAGTAGAGACGGGGTTTCACTGTGTTAGCCAGGATGGTCTCGATCTCCAGACCTCGTGATTCTCCCGCCTCGGCCTCCCAAAGTGCTGGGATTACAGGTGTGAGCCACCGCGCCTGGCCATGATGGCTCCTTAATGCCCTTACTGGCACTTTGGTTGTCTGTTGAAGTCACCAACCTGATTATCAACTCGTTTGGAGTGCGCTGGATTCAGTCCACCCAGTTGCCTGGCAGAGCCAAGCCTGGCCCTACCATATCCCAAACCTGATCTTGTGCCCATGGTTGATCCTTCATGGGCTACTTTGGCCCAGCCACTGTCTGCTTCCGTGGGATGCCCACCTATAATGGATTGAACGGCAGCCCCCAAAAAGATAAGTTCATGCCCTAATACCCAGACCCAGTGAATGTGACCTATTGGAAAAAAATCTTTGCAGATGTAAATTAGTCAAGGATCCCAAGACGAGAGCATCCTGGATTAGTGGGGTAGATCCTAAATCCAATGGCAAGTGTCCTTATAAGAGACAGAAGAGGGCCGGGCGCAGTGGATCACGAGGTCAGGAGATCGAGACCATCCTGGCTAACACGGTGAAACCCCATCTCTACTAAAAATACAAATTAGCTGGGCGTGGTGGCGGGCGCTTGTAGTCTCAGCTACTTGGGAGGCTGAGGCAAGAGAATCACTTGAACCTAGGAGGTGGAGGTTGCAGTGAGCCAAGATTGCACCACTTCACTCCAGCCTGGGTGACAGAATGGGACTCCATCACACACACACTCTTAAGGAAATCTGGCCAAGTATTCTAGGATGCTTCAGCCACTGGGGTTTGCTTTCATGGCTCACCAACACCTTCTCCCCTCCTGGGAACTGCCAACTTCCATTTTTCCTCTGTTCTTCCAGATCCTACAACCAGGATTCTGTGTTGGGGAGCCAAGATGCCCTGCTGAAGCCTCCATCCCCTGAGGCTGCTTCGCAGTAAGCTGCCTGGGCCCTCAGAAGAGGCCTGAAATGGAGTAGAGGCCCTTTGCTGAGGACAGCATAGAGCCAAGAGGGGGACCTCTGTGGAGGGATGGCCAGTAGCAGGACAACTCTCCAGGGTGCAGGGTCCCAGGCCTGCAGGCATAGAATAAGCCCTAGCCCAGGGACCTGTGGGATTGGTAAAGTTGGACCCCTTGGGTGGGTGCCCCACTGGAGCTTCCTCTCCAGGTCCTTGCCTGATTCAGAGTCTTGTTCCTGAAATCGCTCCTGTGTGACCATTGTCACAAGATGCTTCTCTGGTGCTGCCCCTGCAAGAACCCTGCAGGGTCACTTAGACAACAGGCTTGTGTAGAAGTGAAGAAAGCCGGCCGTGCGTGGTGACTCAAGCCTATAATACTGGCACTTTGGGAGGCTGAGATGGGCGGATCATGAGGTCAGGAGATCGAGACCATCCTGGCTAACACGGTGAAACCCCGTCTCTACTAAAAAATACAAAAAACTAGCCGGAAGAGGTGGCGAGCGCCTGTAGTCCCAGCTACTCGGGAGGCTGAGGCAGGAGAATGGCGTAAACCCGGGAGGCAGAGCTTGCAGTGAGCTGAGATCCGGCCACTGTGCTCCAGCCTGGGCCACAGAGCGAGACTCTGTCTCAAAAAAAAAAAAAAAAAGAAGAAGAAAGCCTACAGACTGTCACAGACCCCATAGCCAGTCCCCTCCAGACAAGTCCCCCACACCTATGCCTGCCAAGTGGTAAGGCCTTTGGTGCTTCAAACTCCACTCCAGGGCTGCCAGTCAACCCATGCCAGCCCTGCAGGGACAAGGCCTTTGTGTGGTGGCCAGGCCTGTGGTACCACCAGATGCTTCACTCCAGAGGGAGGCCCTTTCTGTGCCTGGGAGTGGGAAGTTCTTCCACATGGGCTCAAGACTCCTCCAGTAGCAGTGCACCCACAGGCGGGAGAAATCCTACTTGTGTCAGGCCAGGTGCAGTGGCTCACACCTGTAATCCCAGCACTTTGGGAGGCCGAGGCGGGTGGATCACGAGGTCAGGAATTCAGTACCAGCCTGGCCAAGATGGTGAAACCCCATCTCTACTAAAAATACAAAAATTAGCCAGGCGTAGTTGTGGGCACCTATAATCCCAGCTACTCGGGAGGCTGAGGCAGAGAACTGCTTGAACCTGGGAGGCAGAAGTTGCAGTGAGCTGAGATCGCGGCCACTGCACTCCAGCCTGGGCAACAGAGTGAGACTCTGTCTCAAAAAAAAAAAAAAGAAATCCTACTTCTGTCCCAGTTGGGGCCAGTGGCTGAACCTGTCACATATCTGCACTCCTTTATCTGTGACAATTGTCAAGGCCTTCCTGTGCAACTCTCTTCAGCCACCGAGGGACCCACAAGGCGGGCAGCCCTCCAAGTGCCCTTCAGCCTCCTGCTCGCCCTCAATGAGCTTGGTGAGCCCTGAGTTTTGTACTTGGGCAGGGAGCTGGACCTCTTGACAAGGCTTTCCATGTCCAGACACCCAAAGGATGGAGAAAGGGAGTGGGACAGTCCCAGCATCCCTGAAGCAGATGCGGTGGCGGCAGA